AATATTTGATGGATGTGGAATAGGTTCGCAGATCAGCACCAAGCATGTCATAGGAGGCTTTTTATACCCGCAGTGAGTCTGATTGTTGCATGTGTCATACACACGAATATGCCCTGTGCAATGCAGTACCTACAGACAAAACACATTTTTAAAGTTAGGGTTTCTTCCTATTAGAAGAGGCAGACCAGCATTTTACTACTTTTTGTTTCATAAGAGCATCTTGCTGGGCAATGGCATCCTCTCTCCTACCCGAGGAATTAGTGTCAACAGCTGAAATGCAGCAGCTGCATTCAAGCATTGCTGTGCTACCTAATTCTTAAAAAAATATCAAGTTGAGCTGGTGACTGACTTTTCCCTTTTTAGTGCCACTGAATGAATTTGTTCTTTTCTGAAAGCTGCCTGCATAACCAATAGGCAAGTGTAACAACTCATCTGTGGCATTTTGCATCAGCAGATAGTGTCTGCTAATACTGCAGTAATATGTATTTTTCATTCTGGGTGAAGACAAGGATGGAAGGACAGAGATTAAGCGTATCCCAAATATTCTTCAAAGAAAAAACCTTGACACACATACTTTTTTCCTTCCTATAATTCAGAAATGTTTGGAGAAGAAATGAAACCATGTTTGATCATGTATGACTAATGAACTGAAAGCCACAGCTGCCTTTGTTCGTTTTGTTTTTACAGAGTGCATCCATTTAATATATTAAAAGCATTAATATTTTATCTGGAAAACAGGATGCATCCATTTTAAGAGACAATCTTTTATTCTAGTTAGGCTCTATGGAATAACTGGCACTTTTAGAGAAACAATGATGCCAGACTCCTCTCCATGGAATCACCGACCATGGTGCCCCACTATGCAAACTCACTCAGGATCGGTTATCAATAGGATTTAATATTTTACTCAAGAGCAGGAAGTTTCACATAAATGTTTTAATGATCTGACTCCCGACTTAAACTGAAAGATTACGCTGTTCAAAAGGCTCTCAGCAACTGTTGTTTCATTTTAAAAAGGTATTAAAAATTCAAATGCATCCACAGTGTATTGAAAAACCAAAGCTCAGCACATTCAGGTGCATCACTGAATAGAAGAATTTGTTCCTTGTTCACAAAAAACAAGGTGCAAGTTTCACAAAACTGACAAAGAATATTGTGACTCAAGCTGATTTTTGTACTAAATATGGCCTTTTGTACTTAGAGATCTGAAAAGTAAACTGTCTAGTTGCATCAATATTGCCTTCAATATACCCCATAGTAGTTACCTTCCATGTTGCAGATTTTATATTCACCGTCCTTCCCCTGCTAGTCAGCGTGCACTTCATTCGGAGGAAAAAACTACGCTCTGTGTTCTGTTCTTTGCCCTTTTTCACAGGACCTAATACAAACGAACAACAAGCCAAACGTGAGCACTCCGATCCCCTTCCCAAGTGCTGTGAAACTAGCTGTACAGAGAGAATCAAGGACATGAGCATAATATGGTTGAATTCTAGCTGTGAATGATGTATGTTGGGAGACCTGATCTCATTCTGAATAACAGTGGGCTTCAGATATGAGTTTTTACTGCAAGATATATATATAAAAAAAAAAGAAATGAAATTGCAGTGATCTTGTGAAAAGAGAAAAGCTACGATCCTGGTTCTCTTTCTAGCTAACCCAGTTTCAAGGCAGAGAGGAAAGCATGTGTAAATGAATTAAGGTATGGAGTTCTTCCCCACACTGACATTTAAAAGTCTTAGCAGTATTAGGGGTATTTTTGAGCTGGAGTCTATTCATCTGAATCCTCCCTAATAATTCACAGTGGGGATGAAGGAGGAGGATGGGTTAGATATTTTGCAGTACTGTTTTGCCCTATTTCTTGGTTCACTTACAATAATCCTGAATTTTAAAAACTGCTTAAATGATCTTGTCTATTGAGAGTAATGTGCTGCAAGTAGCAAGACCTCTGGCTTGGAAGGAAACTGGTACCTTGCTGTCCAAGGTAAGATTATTGTTGAAAAACACCCATAACTCATCTGGTAGACTGTTCTGTCCCCCAGTAACTGAGTAGCCTTCGCTAACCAAGATCTAGGGGCGTGTCCACGCTGCAAGAAGTTGTGTTCTTAATTTGCACATACACAGCAGGAAAATCCAAGGTAACCTGGATTTTAAATTAGGTAAATTATCATGTTTTTCCAACTGTACGTTGACCCCACGTTTTCAGGTTCAATAAGGGGGAGAAGCAGAATGCTTGCGAGTAGCAGAAATTTATCCCTTATGACAGGGAGTGCTGAAAGAGGGTTCATTTTCCGAAGTGCATTTACAGTGAATTTATATCACCAACTGAATTAATATCCAGGTCCTTGTTTTTGCTTTGACCCTGGCTTCAAGTTTAGTAATATAGTAGTCACACCCTGATTTAGAGTGGTGCAAGAAAGCAGGCCCTAAGCATTTTGTTGATGTGCAGAAATTGCTTTTGTTTAACAGTGTGATATAAAAGCAACCTTTGTTTTACAGTGTGATATAACCCATGCTAGCAAGAGCCACTTATCATAAAATGAAATAGTAAACTAGTCTTCTCACCATTTCTGTGCGTAAGCATTTCTCTCAACTCCTCATGGTCACAAGGATGAGTAAAATCGAACACACTGTGTCCAGTCAGATCAAACTGTAAGAGTAAGATGAATCTAAGTCTAGCTATTTAAAAGACTCAAAACACGCATGAGCAGACAAAATTTTGTAAGAGATTCTCAACAAGTATCATCTCTCTCACCTGTGTGAGGCCCATACACTTGTTCACGTTTTCAGACATGTAAATCATGTCGCCATCTTCAGAAAGCACCATAACAAATCCATCAAGGGCTTTTAAGTAAAAGCAGTTCAGCTCCTTTTCCATTTTGGCTTCTGTCTCCATGTCACCTATGAAACCCCACATTTTCTTATTTAAATGAACCTCAGTTATTCCACATTTTCTTGTCCAATGCTAGAAATCATTTGAAATGAACAAGCCACTCTCCAGGCTGTTCAAAGACAACAGATTTCTTTTAGATGGAGTAAACAGGAGAGCAGGTTGTTCTAATTGAGCATCTGATTCACTTAAGATCAGAAGCATTAAAAAAATAGTTTGATTAAAAAAAAAAAGTATTGCTACCAAAAACTGTTGAAGTTCCAAAATTAAAGCAACAGATCTTTCTTTTCAAGTTTACTTCAGAGTTAAAACAAGTGTCACCTGTATAACTTCTTGGTAAGTAAAACTTACTTAGCACCCCAGTAAGCAGAATTTGTTGCTATTCTCTCATTTAAACAATCACTGCCATTTGCTAGCACTGTGTTAATACTGGTTCCCTCGAAAATACTTCAAGGTATGTCTACCAAGGTGTGACTGCAGGGCCAACATCTCTAAGCTAGCTTTAAATTTAGCTAGTTTGCATACGAACAGCAGTGAAGCAGTGGCAGCAGGCTTCACTACTATTGGTAGGTGAGCTAATTTAATTTAAAGCAAGCTCTAATATGCCTACCTCTGCTGCAGTCCCATCTGATTGCAAGGCAGGCATGCAGTTAGTTAATGATATCTGAACCAGAGTACATCATGTTTCCAGTAGTTTAAACTGGGATACTCAAAGCTAGCAAACCCAAATTTACACCAGCTAGCCACAGAGAAGGCGTGTTCACTGTTTAGTTATGATCCATCTCCCAAGAGAAAAGAAGGGCACACTGGAGTATTGTTTCCCAAACCCTTAATCCTAAATTTTTTTACGAATGGCTTCTACAGTAGAGATTTTTAAAATGGTACTGGTGCTTTTGTGAGCCAATACATGTGCACATCAGGGATACAAAAAAACACGTGAGAACATATTAGTTTGGGACCCCATCACCCTGGCCGTTTCTATCAGTCTCTTAGGGCTCTGAGACTTAACAGCAAAAAGAACTTTTTTTCTGTCTTGGCTCAGAAATCCATCAGGAGATCTTTAACCAGAGTAAAAGGGATGTGAGGGGTTAGATTGTTAACATCAAAAACATTTTTACAGCATATAAAAGAATGTACTTGGGACAAGATCCTCAACCCACTGCCTTCTTAACCACCCTCTGTTTATAAGCCACAAGGACTTTTATTCACTTACCAGTATCCAACAGCTTTCTCATGCGCAAGTAGCTGATGGTCAGTCTCATAATGGAGGCCTTATCCAGATGTGCGCTCACCGTGTGAGGTAGAGGCAGCTGATGAGCAAGTTCAAAGAAGACTTCAGATTCCTTGCTTCTTCGGCATCTGGCTGCATCTCTGGATTTCTCCTTTCTGCGTTCTGAACTAATTCTGCATAAAGAAAGTTTTACGTTATTAATATAAATAGCAGGCAGTAGTCTCAGCACCAAAGATCTATTCCTTCTGCCTTGTTCTCTTAAGCCATTTTGTAGCTGTACATTAGTTGTTATAAAATCCAAGGGTTTTAAAAGAAAAAAACACTTCTACACAATGCCATATTTCTATCACGTATTTTTATACGTAATTCCTCCGACGCTTGAATCAGCAGTAATTCTGCACATTTCTGAGAAGTGTGACAGTTGTGGAATTAAGTTGATAAACGGGGGAAAAAAAGACGACATGCCAAAGTTTGTTTAAAAAAAATAAAATAATCAGCCTGTCTATAAAGAAGCATGCCCTATTGTTCTGGGAGAATATCGAATGGCCGTGCTGGATAGGAACATTTCAGGATTCCAACAGCATCTGAAATTTAAGAAGACCAAAAGAGAGCTTCTGCTATTCACCTGAGCTCTTTCCCCACTCGCCCGTTTTCCTGGGCATCACTGTCATTGTGTCTGTTGTTCAAGCCCATAATCTTGACTTTTGACTCCATTCTTCTTTGTCCACGTCTGCAAACATTGCTTATGGGCATATTTACATGGATTTTGCTGGGAGAGTTATGTTGTCTAACCCTCCTAGCAGAAACAAAGTATATGCATAGCTAAGCTGGTTAAAGGACGCGATTTTTTTGCACGCTCTTAGCTGACGTGGCTATGTGGCAAAACTTTAGTGTTAACCAAGCATAAACCTCATAGCTTTGTTATACATATTCCCATGTGGTCAGCTTTCCACCTACACTACTAAACTTTCGTGCGACCTCAGTTATTGCCTGCCTGGCCTATATGCCTTATCACCCTAAAATCCCATCCACTCTTGGTGGGGTCCAACCCTGTTTCGTGACCTCTGAGAAACCTTCTGTCACAGCACCCAGAGGCAATTCATTTTTGAATGGATAACACACAATATGCAAGTGTCTGACATACTCCTATGAAAAGATGGATTTGATTTATTTGGTTTGGGTGGGATGTGTTCACTTCCTGTTTTATTTTTTGCTTTTATTTCAGATAAACTTATGAGACAGGAGTCTTACATATGAGATAAAGTGGGGAGTAAGAAGGCACCCTCTCAGCCTGTTACCAGGCTTGCCAAAAGACAACTAAGAATATGGACTAGTTGGTTTGAACAGCTAGATCTTGCAGGTCAGTAAATTTTACACATTTCTTTTAACCTAGAAGGAAGAGTTGAAATAAAGATAATCCACTAGTTCAGTCCTCTTTGGTATTGTAAACGTATGCATGTTAGCACTATCACATTTAAACTGCTTTCATAAATCAGACTAGCCTGCGGATGTGTTTGTCTGCATGTTTGTTAAAGAGCTCATTCTTGCTAGGAGCAGATATCAAAAGGTGGGCGTATAATAGTCAAACTAAATTTCTAACTATCCCTTTAAATGAGCTTGAATTCTAGTGACCACTCCCAAAAGGCTACAAGTTTAAAGGGGCAATTTAAAAATCAAATTTAAAGCTGGTAAAAAAGCAAATGAGACCAGCAGTAGTTTCAGATAAAATTACTGCCCCAAACCAGTTGCCAATTTTGTGGTTTTTACTGAAACAAACACTTTTTCTTTCATTACGTTAAAGCCCCATCTGCGACAGAGGAAGTTGAGTCATTGCCTGACTGTGCCTGGAAAACAGCCTGACTGTAAGTTTCATCAAAATACACTAAGGCAGATTTAAAATGTCCTCCTCACATTTATCGTACGCTTCACAACTATAGCAGGTGAAAAATATCACACCCCTGCAGGAAAATATCAAGATGTAGCCGAAGAAATCTCAATACCACCAGTGACGTGTGCCAGCTCTTGGCTCATAGACAATGTACCAACAAAATGAAGAAGGGTTAAAATAGGGAAAGGGAAAAAAGGAGGACCTAGGGAATTATAGACCAATTTGCCTGACTTCAGTATTTGGGGAAATTACTAGAGCCAGTTATAAAAGTTAAATGATGAATAACTGGAGAGGATAAGCACTAGTAGCCAATATGGATTTGTTAAGAAAAAAATCTTGTCAATTTAACTTCCTTTTCTGACAGGGTAAAACATTGTGTGAATACGTGGAATTTGGTGCATTTAATATACCTGAACGTTAGCAAGGCGCTTGACATGTCATTCTCATAAGCAAGTCGGAGAAATATGGGCTAGTTAGGGATCCACCTAACGGCAATTCTAATTGGTTGAATAGCTGCAAGCGAAGCATAGCTATTAATGATGTCAGGCTGGCAAGGAGCCTTGAGTGAGATTTCCACAGGGTCCTGTTCTGGGTTGGATGCTGTTTAACATTTTTATTACTTGGATGCAGGAATACAGAATCTCATCAAAATTTGTTGGGAAGGGTTTCAAGCACTTTTCAGAATAGGATTAAAATTCAAAAGGATCTTGATAAATTAGAGAACTAGCTTGGAGAGAACAAAATGCAATCTGACCCAGACCAATATAAGGTAGTACTTGTAGAGAAAAAAACCAAATGCAGATGCAGAACGGGGATTGGCTTGGCAGTAGCACTGCCAAGAAGCATCTGAGGTTACAGCAGATCAACCTCAACAGGAGTCAGCAACTTAATTAAAAAAGGGGGGGGAGGGGGAGATTTGGGTTGTATTCAAAGAAGCATTATACTACATTTAAAAGAGGACAGAAACTGAAGAGTGAGTGATGGAGGTAAGGCAGATGAAAAGCAATGTTGAAGAAACTAGGTATGTTTAGTTTGAAGGAAAGGAGATTAAAGGGTGGGGGGTGCAGAAGGCTGATAGCCAATTTTCAAATATTTGAAGGCAGCTATTTAGAAGATGGAGAAACACTTGCTCTCCCCTGCGACAGAGGTCAGGACAGGAGGCAAGGTTTAAATTACAGCAAAGCAGGTTTAGATCAAATCCCAGGAGAAAACATCCTAGCTGCAAGACCTGCAGAACAAGAGAATAAATTGCTTTGAATCTCTTTCACTGGAGGATGCTTAAGGGATGGCAAATAATGAATCTGACCAGAGGTTTGTAAGTGATGATCCTTCCCACCTCTTCTAGTCTTACAATTTATACTGGTTTCTATTTAAGACAGATAACAGGTAGCAAAACGGTATTAAAGGGAGAATTCTCATAACAGCAAATTGGCCTGTTACGTTTCCTCGAGATTGGTTACTAGCAGTTTTCATTGTATGGTTACATCCCTGTCCTACTTTCAGACTGGAGACAGCTGTAATGTTAGTTGTATGTTGGCGCCCATTTCCTACGCAGCCCAACAGGACCACTGCAGGACACTGCTGGAAAGCGAACGCAGACAGCGTGACGGACAAAAATCACAAGTCCAAAAACTAAAACTTTTGCCACTTTAATAACTTCCAGTTTCATGTGAACTGGTAGCACATGACTATTTTCTCTTTTGATGGGGGGCAAGACTGGATTCAGAGTTAAGAAAAAAATAATTACAGATTTTAAAATATTAATATATTCTCACCAAGATAGTACGCAGTGAAGACTGCTACTCGGAGGCATCTGGAAAGCTTAATAGATATCAAATGAGCCAACTAACTGGATAATTCTTATAAACTGCTTTGCGTATTAAAGAACTGGCATGTACAAGGCTCTTTAAATACACCTTGTTATTTTTAAAGGAAAGCATGAATTAGGAATCAAGTCCCTGTATTACAATTTTGCCTCGTATTTTAGACTCTTAACTCAGTGGATACTTTTGCTCCTATAATACCATACCATATTGCCTGAATCTATAGGCTTCCTAATATATAGGTACATCCTGAAAAGACAGCTTTATAAGCTTGACCTTTAAAATATGACCTGAAAATATGGTGAGCGTATGACCTCACACTTTAGATCTTTTAACACTGGTTTAACATTTACTTCTGCAGTCCTGGTTCAAAGATCTTTCTTTTTGAAGCGAGATTTGGGAGTGAGGGGAAACCAGGCAGCATTCAGGACTCTTCTGACCCTTTTCTTGGGGTATCCACATTTCTTAGATGGGGGTATAACAAGTTGTGTTGCTTGGGAAGGATTCACCCCAGGCACCAATATATTTCCTTTTCTATCGCTGAGTTTCCCTATTCTGAAAGAAGGTCTAGAGCTTCAGGAACAGCAATTCCAGCTCTATCAACTTTCTTCTCAATTAAAAAAAAATGTTTTTAAATCTCTGAAGTTGAAGGCATTACCTGGAGTGAGATGGAAAATGCCAATTTCTCAAAGACACAGGCAGGCAATAACTTGCACATGCCAAGCCTGTATCTGCGTGCAGGTAGTGAGAGTGGAACCTAATCTTGCCGGATGGGCCTCCTCCCTTCTTCATTCCCTGGAAAGCCTTGCACCCAATGAGCTTTTCTTCAGAAAGCTTGAAGCACTACTGAGCTTTTCACATATTTTCATGGCTTTATCTTATTTCAGCTTATTTGGCAGCAGCATCCAACAGAATGTAAGCACGCTTGAGAAATGATCTCAGAAATTGTTCACAACCACGGTTTCATTTGAAGGCACTCTGAAAGGTTTTGTTCATCTGTAACACCTCCACATCTGTAAACGTGCCAAGAATAAGAATTGTATAAGACAAAACTAAACACTTATAATCTTTCTATACTGAGAGAATAAAAAAGACCCCTGTCTGAACCTTGGGAGGTATACCCAGTGAAGAATGGGACAAAATCTTCAGAAATGCCCAGGCTGTTGGGGAAACAACATACACTCTTGATTTCCTATACATCTACGGAGTGGCAAGCATTTATTTCTGTTTCGCATTTTTGCCATGCTGAAAATTGCAGAGAGAAACTTAAAAGCTGGCCATGTATGACAAGGCATGGAAACCACGATTCCATGACCTTACTGGTGTTGTAAAGCCATGACCCAATGCAGATTTTTACATACGATGGCTAAATAAGTATCAGCCAAGTTCCAAAAGTGAGTTGCATAGATTCGACAGCAGTTACGCTATTAACTGTAGGGACTGCTGCAGTTAAGCAAAAAAGGAGACAAAAAGGTATTAGAGGCTTCCACTGCATCAAAACAAAAGGCATGATATAATTTAGGGAGCAGAGTTTAAGTAAAATACGTACGTGTAATATTACTATCGGCAATATTAAAGTGCCCTCTGTTAGCATTCAGTTAAAGAACGCACTCGTTTTAAGTCGCACAATGTTTGGTTATAACATTGTTTGGCCACTGCCTCCTAGTAGGTAACTACTGTGATATAACTGGATTCGCTTAACATTGTTTCACTTAAAGTCACGTTTTTCAAGAACATAGCTACAACATTAAGCAAGGAGTAGCTGTATTATCAAACTAGTTTGACATTTAGTTCTTTGGACTTTTGCAAGGTTTCCAAGACTTGCTGAAAAAAGCAGCATTAACTCTCTTCTAAAACTCTTGGAATCAAGTTGTTCAGACCTGCTGATGTAAAAATACTTAACTTTTAAAAGCTACTTGTTAACATGCTAATTATTACTGTAGTAATGGCAAGCATTTCATTCTATCTCCTGAAAAAGTCATTTGTTTCCCCTCCCAAATGCAGAACAGAAATATCCATCTAACATTTCTGCCTTTTTTTGTATTACTGAAAGTACCATGCCCATCTATTAAGCACTTAATAGGAATCCTTTTGTTCTTGATATACTTAAACTCTTTTATTGCCTTCATTTCTGCTGTCTACATGCTTCTCTTTATATATTCTTTTGCTTCCCTTATCAATTTTCTATACTACATAGTTTCTAATTGGTAGCAATTGATAATCATTTTTATTTCCCCCTCCCCCCCATTACTCATACGTTGTTTTTGTAGTTGTTTCCACGTCCGCTCCTAACCAAGCTCCATTTAAAACAACCCCCCTCCCCCCACAAAACCAGAACAAACAGCGGAGACTTCTTGCCTTGACTCTGGGATTCTGGTTGTTTGGACAATGTAGGAAAATGATCTTAAACAGTCTTCAATCAGCACTGGTATTTTTTCTTTGAAGTCTTTCTGCCTACCAAATGGGCTCTCAGTGGCTTTAAAACTGATATGTTAGGCACTCTAGAAACTAGCCTTTTTCTACATTATTGGCTTGGATTTTTTCTACATAATTGGCTTTGCTTGCAAAGACAAATGTATAAATCAAGTCAATCACTTGTACCTAGGTAACCAAAGGAAGTTTCACTAACATAAAATTCCCCCATATGGGTGCAGCCCTTTGAGACAGAAAAATTAATCCAGAGCATTAGATACCTAGCTTGTCACTAGTTGAGGGATCCTTATAATTCAGCATTTCTTGCAGCTCATTACAGATAGCAGGAAGGATGGCTTAGTAGTCAAGATACTGGCTTGGAATGCGGGAGACCCAGTTGCCGTTCCCTGCCCTGACACCCTGTGTGACCTTGGGAAGTCACTTAGGTCCCTTCTGCAGGACGCAGGAGGGAAGCATGCTCGTTAGAGATTCCAGCTCGCTTGTCATCCGCACTTCCACGCATACGAATGCAGCCAGGACCTCATTTTGCTTTATGTCAGAACAGGGCTGTCCAACTTCCAAGTGTCTGGGGGCCACACACCCCTTGGTCTGCACCAGCAGGGGGCCATGAGCCCTAGGGATCACATGCCCCTCTGCTGCACTGTGCACCCAGGTGCCTCCCAATGACAACAAGGTCATTGCTTTCAAATTTGCTCTTCCTTTCTATGTGCTCAGGGAGAGCAGGGTCTGACAGTAAAGAGAAAGGGGCTGCCATGGGAATAAAATGGGGGTGGGGGCAGGAAGCATAGAGCAAAGGGCCTACTTTCTTCACCCCCCCACCCCCTCCACTCTGATTTATTTTCCCTACTGTAGCAGTGGGAAGGGGACAAATTCAAGGCAAAACATCACTAAATAGATTCTATACCTGGAAAATGTTGTATTTTCTATATATAGAATGTAATTATTGGGGTTGTAATCAGGGTTGTCTTCTATTCAAGTAAATACGGTAAGTCTTAGGGCAAATGACCTACTGCAGCAGTTCCCATTCTGTGGTACACATACCACCAGTGGTACATGGACAACCTATCAGTGGTACGCGTTAACAGATGTATTAGAATTACTTTATATGACAAAAATGTGCTGGTGGTACTTAAGGTTGTGTCATTTTAAATTGGTGGTGTGCAATCTGTCAAGAGTTTGGGAACCACTGGCCTACTGGATGAGAAGATGTGTTAAGCAAATGCAAACAGCCTAGAACACTTCCTTGTTATGGCGTACCTTTAATTAGTCTTTTGCTTTGATGAAGAGAAACGACAACAACCCACCAATGAAGTCCTTGTGGTAAACAGCACAGTGTAACATTTATTTCTCTGTGGCTGGTCTTCAGCCACGCACAATGTGTTTCCCAAAGTAACTACATAATATTTGAGTTGGTCTAATAAAAGATATCGGATTTACCCAAAGAACCTTGTCCACCAGAGTAACTAGGCTTTTAGGAATGAAATCAACAGTAAAAGTTACAATAGTCCACTTGGGCCCTATCTTTAATAGGAGTGTCTAAGAACAATTAATTATGTGAGTCAGGCATGTGGAGAGGTGTGATCCCAAACCCACAGAGTTATGTCAGATGAAGTTCTTAATACACATGCAGTTATACCAATAAAACCGAACTCTTACTGGTGTGGTTTGTTTGCTCAGGTGGAGCTGGATGTTTGCTACACCCGTACAAAGCTCAGCCGTGCTGGTATCCATACCATAATAGGGAGCCAGAGGGCTCCTATTACTGAAGTTGCAGTAATCTGAGCTGGCTTTGGACAGACAGGTAGCTAATACTCTACCAGCCAGCAACCATCAGACGAACTTGTAGTGACACTGGTTGTGGCTGTTCTGGGGAGTAACTTCCCAAGGGAACAGTGGCAGGGCCACAGGCAGCAGAAAGCCCAGTGCTGCAGGCAGCTGAACCAAGCCCTGACAGGGAAAACAGGCTGGCTGGTAGCAGTAAGCTACCTTGTCAGACTAACCAGCCAGCAAACCCAGAGACACCCGGGGGGGGGGGGGCACATAGCTGACAAAGCCTGAGCCAGGGAATCAGTCTGGCTGAGCAGGCTCCAGGGAAAGGAGCTCTGCCCCAAGATGGCTGTAGCTGGAGCCATGGACTGAGACCCGGCAAGTACGGGGACTGATAGCTTATAAGGAGCTACCCCCAGGATAAATGCTTTGCTATGCAGCCAGCATGCTCAGAGCTTTGGGTCACAGTCAGTGAGCTAATTCTCTTGTTATTGGGCCGCTCGGGACTGAAGGGGAGGTGGAGGTCCCAGCAGGGCCTGAGGGGCACATGACTACTTTGAGCCTTGCCAGGGGCTGGGCTCAAGGTGCAGACAGGGGGTGACCAGGCAAAACGTTGCAGCTTAGAACAGAGCCAGGGGGCCCAGGAAGGGCGAGAACCAGGGCCCGATATGTGAGACTAGGGGTGGAGCCCAAGAAGTCAGACCCAGTGTAGTGGAACCAGGCTAAGAAAGGATCAGCAAGAGCAAAACAGGCATAGGCTGGGAAGGCAAAGGCCCCAACAAAGCAGCAGAGACCTGAGATGGCCTGGTGGTTTTGGGCAAGGTGATGATTGCTAACACCTGCAAGGCACAGGTGTGGCTGCATGGGAGGTCAGAGGCCATGAGATTAGTCATTAAGGTGATTAGTGTCTTGGGGCACTGATGAGCCAGGAGGGCCCACCTAATGTTTGCAAGTTCACTCTGGGACTCTGGCCAGCCTCCCTTCCTCCCAAAAGATGACAACAGCAAGATGTGGCAGATGGGAGGGTAAAAGAAGGAGGGTCCCATGAGCTATCACATAATCACAGCTCCCCAAGGAAAGCTATAATTTCACTAGGCCTCCCGGTGGAATAACCTTTGCACGAAGCTATGGCAGTTTCCACTCCCTGGAGAACAACATGTTCTTGCACTGAAAAACTGCTCTCTCTCTCTGCATCTGTACTAGATGATGGGTGTTTACTTTCTTGGGATGTTGGCATAGCCTCCAACAATTACTAGGCCAAGGGTGTCAAACTTGCCTGGGGCCCTGGGCTAGGTTTGATCCAACTCAGGGCACAAGGGCTGCCGCTATGACTACCATGGCAGCGGAGGGGGCAGCACATGGTCAGGCAGCAGCCAGGGCATAAAGTCCAGTGGGGGTGAGGGTGGTGGAGGTGCATGGTCCGGCATGGGTCCGGGGGTCAGTGCAGAGT